AAGTCATGTAACTTATACAGTCACATAACTTGATCTTTCCATGTGACATTAAAGTGTATAATTGGTTTATACAGTCCAACTAACAATGACTTAATAATGTTAGCTATGATATCTAAAATAGTGATTTTCTTTACAAGACGACTACATTTTAAAAATTAAGAGATTTAGTAATATCGTAGAGAAGAAGAATAATTTTTCACCAGCGTAATCCAAAAATATCATATTAAAACAATCAAACAATAAACTGTGAACGGTGTTGGGTTCGTGTCCTAGAGTGAACATGAACTCTGAGATGCACGTATATCCAGGTGACGAGTCCCAAATAGGACGAAACACGCACCTGGATTCCACTTCTAGCCACTATCCATCTTTGCTTATATTGTGAATTACTGTTTTTGAATTCTTTGATTATATTATATCTGAAAAAATAAATCATCCTATGAATGTGTCAACAATTCATTTAGATAAATGAACACAAATTGAGACATCAATTTTTTCAGTCTGCTAGTGTTTATCATATTAATAAGTTTCTGAAGACTTAACTTATAGGATCATTAATAATAGTGAAGTCAATTAATCTACTAAAATATAATATTGAAGGATTACTGTATTTTAGAAATAGTTATTTTTACAAAGTAGCACCAATTGGAATATCACTGAAAACTTAGATGCATCTGAGAATTAAATCACATTAATTTCAACATCTATTAATAGATAGTTAAGCCCTGTACAATGAAGGAGTTTCAAAGATCAATAAAGAAATATGAACACGACTACTCACTTATTACTATTTCTTTGTAGTTACAATAACCGCATATTAAATGTTAGAATTTATCAATCAAACAATTGCTTTCTACCCCATTGTAGAACTAGGTTTCATTTCATCTAGTTGATATTAATTATGAATTTCAATACAGCAAACTTAAAAGTGTTTATGATAAAGTATAAGTTATTAAAAATCGATAATCAGATAGCTTATTTAATCCTTTTTACATAAGAATTATTATAGTTGGAAGTCAACTGTGGATGAACCAATCAAGTATAAGATAACAGGTCTCGGATTTTGGCTCAAGATTCACTCATCTATTTGGATTAATTGAGTTTTGGCATTTTAGCTCATGATAGTTCGTGATGAAAACCCTAAATCTTATTCCTAACCTTAACCATCAACTGAAAATCATAAATTTAATCCCCCACAATGTTTCATAACATTCATTTGGTCCTAGTTATTAGGCAGACACTCTCAAGGTCACTTTAGCGTCGCTCAAAGTTCGTCTATAAACTATAGTCTCACCATCAACTGATATTGCACTCAATAATTAGTGAAATAAACTGTTGATCGACCATATTTTTAGTACACATTTTGTCATGAACTTGAACTCATATAAAGTCTAAAAATTACTGAAGTCGTGTAAATATAAATAACTTTCAATGTTCAATTAAGTCCAATGTCTAGTATTTTGGGTGATTTTTTAAAATTCATTTAATGGATCAGCACTGTATATAAGTGTAATTTATCGGGGATTTCATTTCAGTCATTAAAGCCATTTGGACATTATAGTGCATCTCAACTTGATGAGTTCGTAAAGCGAATAAAGTGATATCGCACACATACTGGATATTGAAAAGCAGATGAGCTACAAATCCATCGACAAATATCCTACCCCTTGAAATCAATTTCCCATCTTCAAAAAACTAGTTGAATTGATTATCGAAGTAGTAGTGTTGAAAATAGGAAATGACAAAATATGTAGCTGGATGTGTTAGATTCATTATGGTCGTCAGAATAATAATAATAACTAGTTATGTAAATTATTTTAACTTTCTTGTACAGAATAATATAAGTTAATTTAATAATTCCTTACTCAATGGTGCTTATATTTATTTTACTATCTTATGTTAGATGTTCATAAGTAGTTAAACATATAATAAGAATGGAAAATGTACGTTCCGAATTAACTGGTTTTACATTACTGATATTTGTTTATAAATAAGTAAGAGAATACACATTTCTATGTACTAAACATACGCATATAATCACACATTTACATGCATGAACTTGCATACATGTATGGGAGACCCGCATTGATGACTAAGCAAAATGTATTTATTATTATTATTAGTGTTACTATCATCATTATTATTATGATAATTAAGGAAATAGGCCCAACGTTGACACATTTCGTTTACTCTATCATATATATATATTTACGCTAATTTGATTGCAAATTATAAGCTCCTTTTTAATTGCTTGGCGAAATTGCCAATATATATATATATATATATATATATATATATATATATATATACTCCATAAGCTTTCAAAACTTTCCGGAAATTAGTAATCATTTTTATCAAATGAAGAATTTATTTTTCAATGTTTTTATGCATCAAAAAGTTAATTATCATCTCAGCTACATCTTTTAATAGTAAATAATAAAGAAAGAATTGGTGTAAAACACGCAAGAAAATTCAAAATATAAAAAAAACGTAAAGTAATTGTTTATATCCTTTCAAGATAATATTTAAATTTAAATATATTTGTATCAGAAGGGGTTTTGTGGAGATTTTAGTAATTTCAATAATTGAGATCATGAGTCAATTGAAGTTAGACCACCATGGAAAACCTGGAAGCACTGGACGACCGTGTCGTCCTATTGTGGGACTCCTCAGCAGTGCACATCTACGATTTCGCCTCACGAGATTCAAACTATAATATCCACAAAGACCCCTTCTGATATTAATCAGCATATGCTCACTAGTGACTGGATTCAAGAGGTATTTCCTGGAGCTCTAGTGAGAAGCAGTGACCAATGTAGATCAATCGGGTCTGTTGTCAGATATCAACTCACTGAAGACAATGGTGGATGTGTCGCTCAATGTTGTGGATTAGTTGAAGTTAGAAATTAACACCGTTGGATGCCGGCTCAGTGGTCTGGTGGTTAAGCATTTGCTCATAATACTGATAGGTCCTGTGTTCGAATCTCGTGAGGCGGGATCGTGGATGTGCACTGCTGAGGAGTCCCACAATGAGACAAAACTGCCATCCAGTGCTTCCAGATTTTCTATAGTGGTTTATCTTCAATTGACTCATGATCTCAGCTATTGAAATTAAACATATTTCTTTGTTCTATTATGATATTTCACAACGATGAATACATACAACCTCCAGGCTTCAAAACCGATTATGATAGTAAACCATTTTATTCACAAAGAGAATTGTAGTTAACATTTCATGATTCTACAAATAATTATTTTCAGTATACTATTTCATTGAGTTGTATATAATGTAACAAATAGGGATCTAGTCGTTTATTTCATTTAACTAAATGCAAATTGGTTAAATTGAACTGTACTAATCATTAAATTTAAATTAATCTACGAAGTATAGTCCATTAAACTTATCTTCAGAGAGTAATAATCTCAATGTAGTTTAGTGGATCGAGATCTGACTCCAGTTTGATCGTTTCTGATTGCTATTGAGATATACATATCGTCATTCCTCGTGTATATTTCTCGACTTAGATCGCGTTAGTCAATAAAATGTGGTATTTGAAAGTAGAGGATAATATTAGGTTACCGTCGATATATTCAAAACACTAATAATATCTGATGGAACAGGTGATTGGGCAATTCAAAAGCTAGACGGCGGCTATTAAGGAAAAACGACTAGTCATTCGATTAGACTAAAAATCGTCATTGATTTGAGAGGCTGGGGCATGTATAACGTATACCCAGTCACTGCTTACCATGATACGTAATGCCTATGATGGTGAGAGTATAGTGAAAGACACCTGGGTATGGCCAAATCATGACATGGAATCAGTCCATAATATTATTTAGTGCTAATCTAGGACATATCAGTCAATTTTTTAGTTGGGTCGTTTGCAATACTCGGAATCTACGGTTGATGACAACAGTTTACTTGTAGCGATGGAGTTGCATCCATTATATATCTTTACCCCAACCTAGAATTAAATATCCTTCTTGAACTTTTACTTTTTAAACTCATCGTGGATGCGCACTGCTGAGGAGCCCCATACTAGGACGAAACGGCCGTCCAGTGCTCCCAGGTTTTCCATAATGGTCTAGCTTCAATTGACTCATGATTTCAATTAGGGAAACCAATTCACAATTTTAGCAAATGTTTGCAATTATGTAATCAGTTCATTAACCTACTCTTCAGATTCGAATACCATTTTGAAAAATTATATTGCATTTCATAAAAGTATTCATATAACAAAAATAAAATTGAGTAAATCAAGAAATCTCGAACATATAATCCAATACATGAATTGATCACTGAAAAAAGATACATTGCTGTGTTAAAATTCTTGATGTTATCTTAAAAAATGAATAAATACACTATGATATCTAACTGATATTTGATCTAATGCTTAATCTTAGTATATATCCCACCGTAGGTTACAGTTATAATGCTAAAAAAAGAGGGAAAACAAAAATAAACACTTGGCATTATTTGGCTTGTATCTTCCCATTGAGGTTTAAGACTGCAATTGATCAGTCTGTTATTGGCATATATGCATACTGTGCATATGCTTCGATATTGACTTAATTCACAAGATTTTTGTAGGTACATCGAGCTGACGAGTCCCAAATAGAACGAAACGCGCGTCCTGCATTCCACTGCTAGCCACTATCCATCATTGTTTACAAAAAACAAACATTTTATAATCAATAAATTTTACTGAATAATTTAAATTATAATAACTGTACACTTGTAAAACGAATAATGATACACATGGAATAAAAGAAAGAGAACATCTATGAAAATTTTTCAAGGTGAAATAAAATATTATATTCAATGAAATATAATTACTTTAATAGATTATTATAATTATTATTCTAATAGTACAATGTAGTTTAACGAGTACAAATTATTGATTGTTTTAACCATAGATACTAATAGTAACTTAAAATCAATTTTAAATATACAATTTTTGTTTTGAAAATAAAAGATAAATTAAAATATGTAGGTTGTTTGTTTAAAAAAATGGAATCAAATTGTTTTGCTAAGTTTAGTTTATAGGGAATGAAAGAACAAGTGCCTTTTTGGGGGGAGGGGTTGTTTACTAAATTCTAAGTTGTATGATGAAATATATTATATTCATAATGATTTCAGGTGATGAAATTGTTATTTGAATTATGAAGATCATGTTTATTAGTCGAGTAGGTATTCGTCTATATGATATTTTTGTAATTTGAAACATAATAATAAGTAATCAACTGATTACTTTGTTTTTCTTCTTATTTATCCATCAGCTAATTGATCCATCCAATTAGGACTTTTGAAAAATTCTGGAACTGGTTGATCCATTCTAGCTATAACTTTATAAATTGGTTTTTTCCATGATTGTTCTGAATCTTTACCAGTATAAAGTGCATTGAAAAATTCACGTAATGTTGCTTCAACAACAATACGAAAATGATCTGGTACCTATATGTAGTAAAATAATAATTTTATTAATATAGGTGATTTGTGGCAATTGTAAAATTATTGAAATTTAAATTTAGAACTGATTTAAACCAGATAATTATTGAAAACCTGGAAGCATAGAAATGCTGCTTAGTCCTAATGTATCTACAAAAGTGCATGTCACTAATCTCTCAAAAGGAATAAAACCTAAGACCTATTGTTTCAAGCTCAAACGCCTAACGTTTAAACCACTGAGTCGCTTCCTACAACGTAAATGTCTAACCTCAACCAGTTCTTAGTTGTATACTGGTTTAGTGGTCTAAAGTTTGGGCATTCGCATGTGAGATGGAAGGCATAGGGTTCAATCTGTTTTGAAGGAATGAGGTTATGCACTTCAGAGGAGTCTCATACTAGAACTAAATAGACTTCCTGTGCTTCCAGGTTTTTGACAGTTGTCTCACTAAGATTAATTGGTGATGTGAGCTCTGGTAATAATTTTAATTGACAAAACGTTCATATCAGTGTGCATATGTTCAGTGATCTGTGCTCAAAAATTTACATGATAAAGTTAAACATTCTATTTTGAAGCATCTGAGAATGGTCGGATAATGGATCTAACATTTACTCAGGTTAAAACCATGCTATGGTCCCGACAAAGCTTAACGTATGTCAGTAGCTACATGTGGCTTTTTGTATAAATCTGTAGATCACATGTGATATAATATGACAATCACTGATATAATCTAAACTTGTCACCAATAATCGAATAAACATTTCATGATTTATTGTACCACAACAGGATTTTTGCACGGGATAACTTGCCAAGGTGAGTCACAAAGTGATGTCTAAAGAACACCATTCCAGTAACTACAATATACCACAATATCAAACTGAAGAAAACTGCTCTGACAATGAAGTAGAAATTATGCATGACATGTGTGATTTCAGCATGGCTATTGATCACTCTCTGTCATGAGATATAAAGTTTTAAGGAGAAAGTTTAATCTAACAAGTTTGCTTTCATAAAAAGATATAGTTTATCAATAGATTAGGAGGAAATAAACTAATATACAGAACTTGACCATTCATACTAAATAAATTGGTATCACGATGTGATTAACTTACTACAACCTATCAACTATATCATTGTTATTTTCATGTCCTCCCTCAAGTAAATACTTTTTGAAGACATCAATATGTTGTTATGAATATAATCAATGTTCCTAACTGAATTTTATTGATAGGCTTATAATTTCTAAGGCTTTTAGTGGTTAATGTAGCATTTTATCGAAATCAGTAACTTTAATACTAACCTGTTGCGGGTTTTTTTTATTGTTTATAATGTTTATCTAGGTGTTACAGATAAGTGTTGATTCGTTTTCTTTGATTTCTCAGGTTATGAATTTGTTAAAGATTCATCTAATTCTGTTTATTTTTTTAATTCATTTACCAATTATTATCAAAAAATACATTCTAGTAACGCTAAATGATTTGCAACTTACTGACAACTATATAGTTTAATCGCTTGTAAAGAACTATTGTGAGAACATAAACGCACAAACATTACTAAAGTATTAGATATAAGAGCCTATACAGTAATGCAAAGTAAATACAAACGTTAAAAACGATTTTTGAAAAAATAGTTTTCCTTACCTCTAATTGTTGATTACGATTATAATGCAAATTTAAAGCTCTGTAGATTTCAGATTCAATTGTTACATGAATTTCATCAGCAATACGTATTCCTTCAGATATGGCGACTCGTGCATATTTCTCCATTTGAATGTAGTAAAATTCCCTATGAAAATAACAACATAAACGAAGAAATGCTATGAAAAATCATTTAGAGAACTACACTGATTACAAACTCATTATAGGCACTGTTCAACTAAACTAGATACAAACTATCATTTAAACTTAAATTTTAATAAAATTTTGTTGAGTTTCTGTTCAAAAGTAGTATTGCGTAATCTGAACTTGAACTTACCATGACAGTATTCACTGTCAAACTGGTTTTGTTTTAATGGAACTATTATATAAGATGAGTTGTTAGATTCAACCATTTACTGACTGGATAATTTAAACTGAACCTTTTCAATGAATATTATTATGCATATAACTTTTTAAAATTATTCTAGAGAGTAAACAAACTCAGCTTCATACAGTCAAAAAATTGTGATTAGATGCCTAAAGCATTGACACATCACTAATGAAACTTACTCATTAATGTAAGTAGTGTTTAAATACTAAAAGTTTTTTGCACAGTAACATTTCTGTCACAAAAATCCAATTATCTTTACTATTATTATTAACGGCTTCATTCAATATTATATTTTGGTACAATATAGAATTCTCAGCACAGGGTATTTCAACAAGTTACTTACGCAAAGAAAAACAAAGACGAAAAAATGCGTTTAAAAAACGAAAAACTGTACAATTTTTCAGATTAGCGACATGTTAAGAATGCAGGTTATTGACTAGGTTAACTCTAACAACTTGTTCGTCACAGAGTATATTTGCTGGGTAAGGTATTATAGAATTTTTATACTTTTCCTTGCGTGCATGGATTTTAATGTAATTACGTCTCGTTCTACCAGAAGATATACAAGGAGAAAGATAAGAGTGAAGGGGATGGTTAGTATCTGATAAAATAACACCTGCCATCTTATTGTATTTATTACCACTTTGAGAACCAAATGTAACCCAGTTCTAAACAACCAGTATATGTAGTGCATATCATACTACGAAGTACATCCATTGTTCTTTATTTGTTTTTGACTTATATATAAATCATGAGTTAATATACTATATTTCTAGATTATTTAATTTATTACAAAAATGGAGAATAAATGAATTATGAAATGAAAGTAATTTCCTAGTTTATTTGAAGTACATTAATTTTTTACCACTTCTGAAACCATTATTATTATTAGTATTAGTTTAAACACATGAAAACAAAATCAATATTCTTTACTATAAGAGATTCAAATGATCAATATTTTCAACCTCGTTCTATTCAATAAGCAATTATATTTAATTGATATCTCCCTTTAAGTAACATTATTAGGAACAAGATAATTTTACTATGTATCATAATAAATTTACTTAGTGACTATCATAAGCATATGAATGTCATGTAAAGACAGAATAAGTTAAGGATAGAGATAAAAAAATTTAGGTGAATCAAAAGAAAAGTGATATACAGAGTTGGAGGGGGTGGGGTGGGAATAAATCCCAAATTAATGAAAACATATTATCATGATATAAAATTCATAAGATTATTAAATTGATCTCTTTCAGAATGTTACCAATGTTTCTATTACTGTTGATTAAATTAGATTTTATTCTTTATTACCTTTTCTAATATTAAATTGGATTACTTAGATTGTCTTATTTATATCAATTAAACATAAAGTATTATTAATTAATAGAAGAATATTTAATGGATAATTCATTCCCTATTTTGTTATTTACCTGTCTAGTGATATGGGGGGTACTTTCTTTCTTTCTTTCTTTCTTTTATTACTTAGACGATACAGGCTAGAAAAACAGATTCTTTTAAAACTATTCTCTTAACTGTGTCCTATTCATCTGCTTTGAGAAAATACACATTTCAACTGGAAAAAGTAATAAATTAATCATCGTAGAGGTTTCCTACTTTCAGAATCTTTTTTTAAAAAAGTCTTTGATCCATTTTAACTCATGAAACTGTTTTTACTACTTTCACAAATGGAATCTTGTATTTATGGTAATAAGTTGTTTACTATTGTTGGTAAAAATAAAATACAGACAAGATATAACTTTTTTATAAGTTTATCACTTCAAACACGAGCTTCATGAAAATGAAAAAAAATGTTGATCAATCCAATAACTCAAAGTTCTCATATACTTTGGAAGATTTAATACTCCGCAGAATGATGTACAGTGGTTAAATATATCAGCTTTGATGAGAAAAAGAACGTCGATAATTTTTTGTTTTTGATTTCACAACAGTATAGGTGTTCGTTGAATTAACTTATGATATAGTTGAATAATCATTGAAACTAGGGATTAATTTAATAAAACATTCACTTATCCACTTAGTCAATCCTTTATTGAACTTTTCTCATTTGGTTAAACTATGAACAATTCTTTGAACGAAGAATATTCTTCTCTGTAAATTCTCTTCAGGTTCTACAATTACATATCCAATCTTATATATATATATATATATTCGCATTCATCCCTCCGTATTACGTCTTACTTATTTGATCAGATTGCAATTGCACTATTATTTCTCTCTCACCTTATTTGACCCATATTTATTCTGAGCATGGATCTTAAAATTTCACTTAACATATACGCAGAGTCAAGTTAACATTTTATATGAATCATATGAACATTAACAATTTTATTGTATTTTGTTTATCACAATCCTAAATTCACATGCTTTACACAATGTACTTTGCCCTTAACTTGGCCATTTTTTCGGATTATTAATTTGGATATATGAATTGTAGAACCTGATGAGAATTTATCGAAAAGAATATGCTTCGTTCAAATACTAGTCTTTCAATATGATGGGGATCTTTAAACCATATGAACTAATCAACGCAACAGACTCACTTTTGATACCAGTCATCAAATCGACTTCAAGACACGTGACCATATATATGCATTTATACATATCAACAGTTTCTCTTTTGACCTTTTTATATTTTTCAATTATATATATATATATATATATATATATATATATATATATATATTAAACTAATAGACAAATAAGTAAAAATAGGTAAACACAGACATTTATTCAATTAATAATTCAATTGTTCATTATATTTTTATCTAAATGGTTCATCATCCAAGCTCATTTATTCACTTAACATAAGTTCGAGGTTAACTGATAGATAAATGTAATGTATATCTATTTATATTTCTCTTTACAAAGTTTCAACCATTTATTCTCCCCACTCCCCACCTTATCCATTTCACTAATTTACTATCTACTTAGATAAGAATAATAATAAGTAGTATTGATAAATTTAAATGATCAACTGTTTTGTATTCTGTACAATCTGTTCTCTTTATATATATATACTTTCCTTTCTTTCTTTTTCTGGGCAAAAAGAAACGTGCAACTAGTTTTCTTTTATTGTTATAAATTATTTTTTTTAATCTCTAATAAATCTTTTTAGACATAATACATCTTTGTAATTTTTTTTTCCTTCTTTTTATATGAATCTATTCAATCACAGTAATAGTAATTTAGTTTATTTAAAGTTTTAAGGTGAACTATGTAAGATTTTAATCTTGACTTATGTTAAAGGTTTTATTGAATGTTACAATTTTAATGAATACGATTAAGGTGGGGTATAAAGTATTTGTTTATTCATCTATGTGTTCTCATGTATATACTGTGGTTTATTGTTACCAAGTTCATGTTTGTATTGATTTGTTTCTTTCTCTTCTTATATTCTCAATGTTTCTTTTTTTTTCATGTATCCTACTTATCAATTGTTTTAAATATTTATGTTAATTAGGAAATAGTGAAATAATAGTTTTAGTAAAATAAAATTAACATGAGAACAGTTGAGCGTTATTGTTATGAATAGAATAAAAAAAATAAGATCACCATATGCTCTCGTTCTTCTTTCTTTTCTGTTGTTAAAATAGATTTCTACATACTTGACTAAGTAGTTAGCAAATTTAAGAGTTAGAGAGAGGGAGAGAGAATTAGTATAAAAGTAAAAAGATTAAAGCTTTTATCATATATTTCCATTTGTTGAATATAATGATGAATTCTACCAATAAAATTTGAATACGTTTCGATGATATTGATGGTAAACTATGGAACTTTAATTTTGAAGTTATTGAAAGTACTTCTTCAAGGATTTAATACACTTCATATAAAAATTCCTTGAAAAATAATTTATGGTCAACAGAGATCAGAAATGAAAGATTATTTATGTTAAAGAGAAAGAGAAACAATCCAACCTAAAAAAAGATCGAACATTGGATTCCTTTTAAGTGATACATAGTAAATATATTGGCCTTAATACCTGAAGACTTTGAGTATAATTCGGTAAAAATCTGATAGGGAATAATAAATTAGAGCTAACTGACTGTCCAATATTCCTTGATTTGTTCAGTGATTCACAAATTAATAAGCTACAGTACAAAAAGTTGCATACGGGTTTAGTTTTATCTAAATCTAATATTAATTTGACTATCGACAGAATGTGATCAGTACTGAAGAACTAAACGAACATGACAATGAGTACCACTCAGAGGTTAATAAAATACCTCAACCCTATAAGAGATCATCAGCTGCTCAATTAGCTCAGGTTTCGGAGCCCAATGACTCAGGTTCAAGTCACACAAAGAGCATCATTTACCTCAAAATTTAAAGTGAGCATTGCTGATGACTGATAAGTAATATGAAACTTGCGGCCAAAATTTCTTGTCAATAACTATCAACCGCCTAACTCCATAGATTCATTATCACTATTATTACTATATTCAAGTAAATAAATTTTTAAGTGAAATCAATTGTAATACAAGTTTTTATTCATTTTAAAAAAAAACAACAATGAATATTACCTATCACTAATGTTACCATCATCAATATAAGTCCCAACCGATTGATGATATAATATTAAGGTTATGAACTTATACAGAAACAAAATTTTGAAATCACATGAATAACAAGTACATTTTATTCTCGAATAATTTAATTACTATTAGGTCAAAATGATCATTCAATCATAACTATTCTGGATAAACTTTTGTTGTTGTTTTTTTAAAAATTATACG